GTTTTTTTTTTTTTTTGCATTATTACATTAACCAAGATATATATACAAAAAGATCTAATTGTTTACAAAAATGTGTTTGTCTTCTATGTAAAAATCTAGGGATTTGATTGAATCAAACTCTTCACATAAAAAAAATAAAAATAAAAAAAATCTATGAAGAGTTTGATTTTTTTACATAAGCAGATTTTTATATATTGAGAAAGGTAATTCAAATATTGATTTTTGTTGTAGCTAAATAACTCTTCTTCTTGAATGCTTCTTATTTTTATCTGTTCTTGATCTGTAAAACAATTATGCATCTATATACAAACAAAAATTATTAATTTATAAATATAACATGTACAAGGAGAAATCTGATTGTTTGTATATGACAAAAAAAAAAAAAAAAAAAATAGTTCTCGAAGTTTTATCATTGTTTCAAGACAAGCCTCAATCTGTTTACTATATTCTCTATCCCAAAGACCTCTAATCTTACTCATTGAGTCTCAATCTATCTACTCTATTCTCTATTCGAAAGGCCTCTATCTTACCCATTGAGCATCAAAGTTTATTGGGTTTTTATTAATTCCCGATTTAAGGTGATGTAGTCTTTATGTTATTATCTCCAGTGGGTTGAAGTTTTATGATGTTGTTGATAATTTGATGCAAAGAGATCATATACAACATGGTTTTTGTATGATGTTTTTAACCAAATGAACACTAGGTTCAATATCTTACGTTTTTGACCAAATTAACACTAGGTTCAATATCTTATTTAGAGGGTAAAGAGAAGAAAATGTCGATCGTGCTGGATTCACCATGGAGAGGATGTGAATCGTTCTTCCGTCATACTGTTAATGAAGAAGACGAGCATGAAGCTCAATTTTTGGTAGAAACTGTTTACTACACTAAGGCCTCATTTGGCAACGGAACTTTTTAGCCAAAAAGTCAAAAAGTTACTAAATTAGCCAAAAAGCCAACAACTCATACCAAAAAGTCAAAAATTCTCTTTTCTCTCTACTTTTTGCACATCTTTTCGTAAAAAGTCAAAAGTCATCCCAAACATACTAGTTTTTTTTAGCTCATATTTTAGCCAAATAGTCAAAAAGTTACTAAATTAGCCTGTTCCCAAACGAGGCCTAATTGTCATGTTCTAACTCCCCCTCTGCCTGACATCGAGTACAGAAGTAACAATGAAGAATACGAGATCCTCCGCCATGTCTTTCACTGGGATGTTACCCCCTATGAGGAGGTCCTTCAGAATGGATTCGAAGCAAGGCGTCAACAAGGCACTCCCGACAACATTTTCTTCAATTTGGATCACTACATCCATGATGCTGGTAGACCTCTTGATTCCAAACGGCCTGCCACCCACACCTTCGTTAGCACCACGCTTGACAGTAGTTGGCATCCCAGGCTCAACCCTGGGACACAGAGACAAGTATATCGATACGATATATGCTTCTGGTGGCATTTGGGTTGCTGAGACTCTTGGTGATCGTTATCGACATCGTGCCCAAGACGAGGTCACCTTTGTTGCTGGCATTGCCCCTCAATATATTCGGTCTGCCCAACTCTTCACTCTTACTGGTAGCACCGCGGGTACAAGTCGACAGAGAGTAAATAACGAACTAATACAAAATTGGAACTTCAATCCAGATCCATCAAGGTTGCTCAACATTCAAAACCCGGTAAGTTACTGCTACGATCAGGACCCAAATGGAAGACGTCGGAGGAGAGTGGATCTAACCATTACTACTTTTTTTTTGATCAGGAAAGAAAAAATTTATTTAACAGCATGAAATTAAAAGTACAGGAAGATGAGATGCATTGAGAGAGATTCAGAAGTATAAAAATGCCCCTACTACTTCTACTCGTATCCATACAACCAACCCCTAAGCCTCTCGATTTTTTAAATTAAAAAGTTAAGAAGAACTTAACTAGGAAATTAAAATACATGAATCCCCACATAAAAACCCACAAAATCACCCAAACCAAACAAAAAACAAAACAAGACCCAAAACAAACTAATAACAAGAACTAAACTACAAACACCCAAGCAGCCTGAACCCCTCCAACCAACGTCCAATCAGCAACCCATGCCTCTGCCAAGACCCACGTCTCTGTTGTTACAGCTCCCCATGCCTCACGCCTCTGCTGCATCAACTCCATTTAAGGTGAGTAAAACTAAATCTTCATCTTCAATTGGTGAACCAGCCAAACTCAACTGATCAGAAACAGCCTTGATTTGATTCAAGTAATCCTCCATAGTGAGATTCTTCTTTGTCAAATGATTGAGCTTGTTCTTTAGCTGATGAATATGAGATCGAGAGAGAGATGTAAATCGAGTAGCCAGGGTATTCCATACCTCTGTACTTGTTCCACAGTGCAAAACAGATGTGAAGATGGATGGGGAAAGTGTAGCAGTAAGACAACTCAATAAATGTGTATCAATGGTGATCCAATGCGTAAATGCTGGATTTGGAACAGAATTGCCGTGTGCATCATGGATTGTAGATGAAGGACAGGATATAGAACCATCAACAAAGCCTAGTAGCTTTGTAGCTCTCAAGATATTCTGAAACTGACTCTTCCAAATGATATAGTTTGTAGAGTCAAGTTTGATTGGAACAAAGGAGTTGAGATTGGAAATAAGAAGAGTGAGATTTGAAGGTAACATGGAGATATCTGCAGAACCAAGAACAGAGATCGAATCTGCCATTGTTGCTTGTAGGTTTCTTACAGTAGCTTCTTGCAGATTTGCTGCCATTACTGGATGTTGTTGAAGATAGAATGCTCGATGGAGCTCAAAAGGCTCTGATACCATAAAGGAATTTAGAAAATATCAGAAAATATCAGATTCTCATTTCAAAAGAAAATCTATCTAAACACATACAACTACAGCTTTCTTTTTATACAGAAATTATAACTATCTAACTCAATATCCTAACTAACTAACTATAGTTGAGTTTAGATAACAGCCTAACAGATTTATTCTAACCACCACAAGTAGATGATAACTGTCTCAATTTTATACACGTGCTCAGCTCTTGATTGTTCTCAACAGATGGCTTGGATGGCTCTGTCTTTGATGCTGTCTTTGACTGATCTGTTTGATCTGACTTGGACTGATCTGTTTGATCTGGCTTGGACTGATCTGGCTTGGACTGATGTAGCTTATCATGCAGAACATGGAATAGATTGCGCTTTTGGGTCTCATAATAGTGATGAAGCGTTCATCTTCTCAGGGAATCTCTGTGCACAGATTAACTACGCACCAGACACCAAAAACGATAAAATAATCAAAGGCCCGATGACCATTACTGCCATGTTCCCCTTCTTGAAAGAGACGGTGTTCAAAAATGACGTAGACGCCGCCTTTGAGGCAACCACAAGTTATGAAGCTTACCTCTTCAAAGACAACCACTATGCTCTTATAAACTATGGTTTTAATTCCCACCTCATCGCCGTCCGTACCATCACTCAAGGCTTTGCTAGTTTGAGAAACACCATGTTCGAAAGTGGAATTGATGCAGCATTTGCTTCACACAGGACTAATGAGGCATACCTATTCAAAAAAGATTATTACGCACTCATCAACTTTGCTCCTGGCACCACAGATGACTACATCATTGATGGCGTGAAGAAAATCAGGGAAAACTGGCCTTCTTTAACTAACATCTTGCCTCGCAAAAACTATGGTCTTGACGTTCATGATCACACTAAGCCTGCTGCTGACCATGACCAGGATGAACTTTAAAAGGTCAGTCCTACGTGCCAAAAGTGTGGATGGTAGCATGCTTCGAATAGGAGTTTGGCTCAATAGTTTCTAGTTTATCTTATCTTCTTAATAATATCTGAGAGTTCTAATTTGAGAACTTTAATACAGTTGTAATGATGTGTAAAGTATTCATATGAAAGTGTTGAATGAATGTGACGTGGAATGTTCATAAATATTTATGGAAAATATTTATGGAAACTTTATAAATTTATTTATCTCGTTAATATTTAATTTATAGTTTAATTAAAAAAATTAGGATTCTTATGTTTTTTTTCCATTTAATATATTTCTTAGTAATCTAGAATTTTTAATTAAGATTCTTAGAATTTGTTTCCTTCTAGGATGCATGGATACGGATACAGATACAAATACGGCGATGCAACAAAATTTTAAAAAATAAGATACAAGGTAAAACTACGATACGTTTGTAAAAAATACATTTAAATTTTTTTTATCAGTGCTCGGTTACATATGAGCTTAAGAATGTTGAGAAATTATACTATAATTTTATAATGCAAAATATTAATTGTTAAGAATTAGGTATTAATTTAAGTTAATAGCTAGTTTACTTCTTTTTAATTTTTAATACGTCTTACAAATATTTTATTTTAATATTAGGTCTACTATGTTTATATTACAATAATAGAACAATGATATTTAATTTAATTTTAATTTTCTATGTAGTTATAAGGGCATGCATGATACAATAAGAATAAGTCAATTTGACAAATTATATTACTCATGTTCTTCTTATCAAGAACTAAGCAAAATATTGGAAAAAAACCATTTTAGAATTTTTTGATGCATTAAAAAAGGGGAGATTGATCAATAAGTCTTATAGTTTTGACTTATGATGCATGTAGTCCTATATATATATATATATATTTGTGTAATCTATTTATTCCTTTTAGATATGTAATGACTCATTTATCCGCCATATTAGAGTGTTATATTTGGAAAAAAAATTACACTAATGAGTTTTTTAGTGTGTCATATCATACCCGCTACATTGTGTGTCACATCATACCCGTCCTATAGGAGTGTTATTTAAAAAAAGTACACTGAGAAATTTTTTAGTGTGTCACATCATACCCGCCACATTGGAGTGTCATATTTGAGAAAAGTATACTAAGGAATTTTTTAGTATGTCATGTCATACCCGCCACATTAGAATGTCACATTTAAAAAAAACATATATTAAAGAGTTTTTTATACCTTTCACATTAATAAAAGGGTATAACCGTCCATCAAAACACAACCAAAACCGAAAACAGTACTACAAGGAAATAAACTCTCCACTAATAGGCCTTAATAGATTAATAGGAAAAAAAAATTGAAATTAATTGAAGTACTTGTTTGTGAGATGAGATTTCCTAGTAAATATCTCTTAAAAAAGGGTAGACTTATAGTATTTAACTCAATCACATAAAATTGATGACCCATAATCTAGCTAAAAAATTTCATACCGAGATGATATTTGATCCGATTCGAATCCATTACTACTCGTCACAAAACGGACTACTCGACCTAAAACCCTTCTCAAACTCGAGCTTTACTCTTTCAACTCGGGTTATCCAAAATACATACCAATTCGCACCGATTATCCAATGGGTATTGTTCGAATTACCCAGCGGATAAATTCCCAATCATAAAATACCCAGTGTTCAACCCTTCAAGGATTGCTCTTTACCTATGTTAGATGGAGTTAAGTTTGGGTGTCATGTATGGGTTATGTTACATGGATTCGGATATGAGTGTCGGGTATGAGTGCGTATCCACACATTAGACTTTCCACTACAAGAATTTACACATTTGACGACCAAAACAAATTTAGTCGCCAAAAATAGTCCTTTTGGCGACTAATTTTTTTTTTAGTCGCCTATAACTAAAAAACAATTAGTCGCCAAAAGTTAATATTTTACGCTACTAATTCTAAGTTTAGTCACAGAACAAGCTGATTTGACGACAAAAATGTAGTTTAGTTACCAAAAGATACTTTTGGCTGCCAATATATTAGTCGCTAATACATAATCTTTTGGCTACAAAACTGGTTGTCGTTATTCAATTCGATTTGGCGACAAAAATGTGAAATAGTCCCTAAAAGTTGATATTTTGTTTTTTAGAGGGACACAAATATAATTTGGCGCCCGATATGTCTGTATCTCATCCACACTCACACGATATACACTGTCTCAAACAAATTTCGCTCTCTTTCGACACTACCAAGCTTCACCCCGCTCACTACTGTCGTTGACCACCGGCGAAAGAGACTGTCACACATCGTCACCGCCACCTGCAAAGCACCAACGCCACTTAATTATAGGTATGTTTCTTTTGCTCTGTTGCTCTCAGTCTCTCTTCGTCTCTATTGCTCTCAGTCTCTGTCTCTATCTGTCGATGGAGCTCTCTCTCTCTCTCTCTCTCCTTTCCTTTATTTCCTCATTTCTCACACTTGCCCTAGGGTTTTATATGAAATTAGCACGTGTACATTAAGAGTTAGAGCTGAAAACGCCTTAAACTTAACCGAAAAAGGGTGTTACGAGGTGAAAATGCAAAAGAGCCCTCGAACCACTGTACGGATGTCACAACCAGCTTCCTTATGGAAAGTAGGACCTGTGACAACAGACAAAATATAATTAGCATGTGTAGGTTGGGAGTTAGAGCCAAAAACGCCTTAAACCTAACCAAAAAAAGGCATTAAGGGGGCGAAAATGTGAATCGGCTCCCAAACTACCGTACGAATGAGACAACTAGCTTTCCTATGACAAATAGCACCTGTGACAATAGACGAGATGTAGTTAGCACGTGTAGGTTAGGAGTTAGAGCCGAAACTGCCTTAAACTTAACCAAAAAAGGGCGTTAAGGGGGCAAAAATGCGAATCGGCCCCGAACCACTATACGGATGTCACAACCAGCTTCCCCATGGAAAGTAGGACCTATGACAACAGATGCGATGTAATTAGCACGTGTAGGTTGGGAGTTAGAGGCGAAAAAACCTTAAACTTAATCGAAAAAGGGCGTTACGGGGGCGAAAATGTGAATCGACCCTCGAACCACTATACGGATGTGACAAGTACCTTCACCATCGCAAGTAGGATCTGTGACAACAAACAGGATGTAATTAGCACGTGTAGGTTGGGAGTTAGAGTCGAAAACGCCTTAAACTTAATCGAAAAAGGGCATTACAGGGGTGAAAATACAAAACAGCCCCCAAACCACCGTGCGAATGTCACAACCAGTTTTCTTACGGCAAGTAGGACCTATGACAATAGACGGAATGTAATTAGCACGTGTACGTTGGGAGAGTTAGAGTCGAAAACGTCTTAAACTTAACCGAAAAGGGGCGTTAAGGGGGCAAAAATGCAAAATAGCCCCCGAACCACTGTACGAATGTCGCAACCTACTTCCTTATGGAAAGTAGGACCTGTGACAATAGACGGGATGTAATTAGCACGTGTAGGTTGGGAGTTAGAGCCGAAAACGCCATAAACTTAACCGAAAAACGGCGTTAAGGGGGCGAAAATGTGAATCGGCCCCCGAACCACCATATGGAGGTGACAACCAGCTTCCCCATGACACATAGAACCTGTGACAACAGACGGGATGTAATTAGCACATGTAGGTTGGGAGTTAGAGCCGAAAATGCCATAAATTTAACCGAAAAAGGGCGTTAAGACGGCTAAAATGTGAAACAACCCCCGAAGCACCATACGGATGTCACAACTAGCTTCCCCATGACAAATAGGACCTATGAAAATAGACAGAATGAAATTAGCACATGTAGGTCGGGAGTTAGAGCCGAAAATGTCTTAAATTTATTCGAAAAAGAGAAAGTTTGACATCCAATAAATCTTCAACATTTTGATTGTAATTGGTGTCATTGTTTCATCATGAGGAACAAAATTGTTAAACCAATATCAAATTATGAATGTTAGGATAAAGTTATATTACAGTTACAAGGGGTGTGACATTATGCTCAAATGCTATATATGGACCTAATTGGTGTATTTTTTTTTTTAGATGGCTTTTGGCATGGAGTTGTGGATATTCCATTTTTGTGGACATATGACAATTTACACCTTTGTAAACTTCTGCATTTTTGTCGTCCTTTGCTTTTTGTGTAGGTTTGTATTAATTGTATAGAATAATTTTGACAGGGTACATAATATTTTTGCCTTCGAATAGATAATTGATGTCGTGATCTACTGATTACCTTTTGTCGTGGTACATATTACCATCGTAGTTTGTACCATGCCAAATGGTCATTTGGCATAGTAGTAAATATATTTTTGTATACGGAGGATGAAATTTCCCTATGATCATTTATGTTATGTACGGAGTTATTATTTTAAATTGGAATTAATGTATTTGATTTGTATTGAATTATTGACATTTGAAGATATTAATTTTTAGATGGTTGGAAGTGAAATGGATGTAGATTGTTGAATGAGTGATAATATATGTATAAACCGGTTTGTATATATCGTACAGGTTGCATGGAATATATACAAGTTGTGGGTGTGGACAAATTAAAAAAAAAAAAAAACATAAAATGATGTTTTGGCGACTAAAAAATTGGCAACCAAAAAAAAAAGTCAGTATTTTTGCCAACTAAATAGTTAGTAACTAAAAAAAAGAATTAAATGAAAACAAATCTTTTGGCGACTAAATATTTAGTAGCCATAACAAATAAGACTTCAAGCGACTAATAATTTAGTAGCCGGAAAAAAAAAAATGAAGAACACTTTTGACGACCAAACTATTAATAGTCAAAACAGAAAATATTGGACCTTAGGTGACGAAAGTGTTAAGCTTCGGCGACAAAATTATTAGTCGCTGAAAAGTGCTTTAGGCGACTAAAATATTAGTATCCAAATAGAAAATGTTACACCTTAGGTGACTAAAGTTTTAGTAGCTAAACAGTTTAGGTTTTGGCGACCAAAAATATTAGTCGCTGAAAATGTCATGTTAAATTTTGTTGAAACACTTTTGGTGACTAAATTATTAGTCACCAATTATGTGCTTTTAGCGACTAAAATTTTTTAAGTCGCCAATTACTTTCCCCGACTATCTTTCAACGACAAAGGTGGTAACCAAAAATATTAGTCGG